GGGAGGAGCTCTCGGCTTAGTTTTGTTTTGCCTTCTTTATGGCCCACACATAACTCACATTAATATGCAATGCTGATAAGGCGCCCTATTTTGGAATTCAGCCCCCTCTTTCCTTGTCCCCTCCCACATAATCAAACAAAAGCAATAAATCAACGTAAAACGAAATGAATTTTGATTGTCATTGATTTATGTGCACTGCAGTTGGAGGCACAACCTAGGACTCGGACCCTCCTGTCCATCCTGTGTCCACACGCATAATGGCAGCGATAATGATGACAGGCGGAAGACGAAGGAAACGGTCCCTAAAAAAGTTCCAGGAGCAGCCTAGGCTATCTCCCAGCGCTCGGGCATAAAATTGTAGCAATTCAATTAACTGTCATCAAATGACAATTACAAATGAAGACGACTCTCTGGGCAGCAGGTGTTCTGGAAAATAAATTCACAGAGAAAAACGATTTGATTTGAAAAAAAAAATTATACATTATCGTAATTGGGGGAAAGGGAAACATTTAAGTTGAATTAAAAAATTGAAAGGAAACAAATGTATTCAGTGCCTATTGTTGTTTAATAAGACTTCTTATTATTAATGGAAAAACTTACCATGATATCCCTTTCTTTCTATAGCCTTGCAGGGTATTATAATTTTAATTTAAAATAATGATAATGATAATGATTTAATGTAATATATGAATTTTTGGGTTAGTTATGGTGAATTTCAAACCCGGCTCTAATCCAATTTCATACTGCAAGGATATACAAACTTCGGCTTTCCGAGTTAACTTAATGGTTAAATTTGAATTTAAGATTTCAACTATAACACTATAAAAAGCAATATAAATTTCTATCAAGAAGATTTCAAATTGCAAATTATAATTATTAATGAAACTCAACACACACACAACAAATATATACAATCCTTTTTTGGGATCCTTCTCCTTATTTTTTATAATTTAAAACCCGCAAGCTCTTCACGCTAATGTAGCCATTTTCATTAAATTTGAGTTCAATTCAAGGGTCAGACAAACAAAACTGATGCCTGATGCATTAGGCCTAGTCACTTGGCCATAAACTTTGTGCCCCTGCTAATTGTTAAAAGTTTCAATTACCCCAGGAAAGGGGCCAACTCTCCGCATGACAATGCCTGCCATGATGTCAGTCAGTGCGTCAGTTTGTCGAGTTTGGGGAAAAGTGCAAATTACATTTCAAAAGTAGTTGGCAAATCGTTGGCTTTGCAGCTGCTTTTGTTTCACTGTCCTACGTGACTCAGCCAAAAATTAGTAGAGGCCAGAGAACAGGGGGGAGAGGACAGGATATAGGGTGGATTGGACGTCCTTCGACATACGCTTTAAGTGCGCCTTGAACTTTGCGGCAGAAGCGAGGCACTCGAGAGCCTATTTGCGATGATTACACGGCGTATGAGTGATTTTAATTTAACGGAGAGATAAACACACGAATGCCCATATACCGATTCCAAGCCCTTGTAAGTACCAGAACATGCGTGTTCGTGCCGTGCCATGGCTGCTTTAAGTAGTTATGCAAATATTAAGCGCACAGCCGCCTTTTGACCTGAAAAGTCAATAGGAAAAACTCACACGGCCGCAGCAATGAGCACGGCCACTACTCACACAGGCGCATTCGGAAATTCCAACCCTCATTGGGTGTGTGTGTGTGTAAGTACATGTATGTACTGGTGAACTTTTCTCCTGGGGGGGAGGGAAAGTCGATGGAGAAAGCTGCTTTCGCTGGCCTGATAACCGACACCGAGGCGCTTGCAAATGTCAAGAGCGGAGATTTTTGAAGGATTCCAATGCAAAAGTTTGGCCAGAAAACAAAACTACCAGAAACCTCTTCAACTTAAGCAAACACGAAACATAAATTGGGTCAACGAAAGGCTTAAATATTTTATTTACTTCAAGGTTGCTTAAATATATATCAATTGATTATTATGAATACCTCTATGAAACACTCAAATTAAATGAAATACATGCAAACTGATTAATGGAAAGAAATAAACCTTAGACCATTTTTATTACCTACTTACATTTTTGGTAAATGTCTTTTAAAGTATTATACAAATATTAATCCTATATTTATTTAAAATTTAAAATTTCCACTGACCTTCTTGTCAATGCCGCACATTTGCTGGGTGCACCGCTGACGAAGGAAAACAAAAATCGAATCGGGAATTATGGGTGGAGAAATCGAATTCCGAGAGTGTAAACTTAATTAAGAGCCAGCAAGGAGAGTTGATTTTGTTTGATTTACACGCCAACAGCTGCATGCTTTAATTATATAGACGTGGGGTCGCTCCTCGGTTCGGTGGGTCGAGCTGGGTCAGGGCCCCTCCCCCACCGAGTGGCCAGCTGTCGCTGATTGCCCACCAGGAAATGACCCGCCGAAAAAAGAAAAAAAAAAACCTGCTGTGCGGAGGAAAAAGGATCCAGGATCCTGGATCCAGGCTCTGGCATTTCATGGCTCATTAGGCATGCACATACGTTTGCTCCGTTGGGTTTTTGGATTGGGATTCGCATTCAAGCTGCGCGCTCTCTCCTCCTTTACCAAATCGTAACAAATTCAATTTTCTACGACGCCGATTTGGTTTCCGCACGTCTTAAGCTATCGTCGGCTACAGTCGACGCCATGAATATAGTTATTGGCTGCAAGTGTTTGTCTAGATGTCTGCCAGGACCCCCACTCGATGCCGATTGCGCAGTAAAATAAATGATAAGAATCTGTGCGCTCTGCTCATGAATTACAAATCGCATAAAGGATTTGCCACTGGCTCAAGACAGCGGCAAGGACGAGCAGCAGCTTCCTTTCCTGCAGTTTGCACTGCCGACTGTTCGTCCGCAGGATGCGAAAGGGATCAGGTCCTGGATCCGCTAGAGGGTTGGGCAAACAGCTCACAGCACGCCCAGCATTTTAATGCATTGAGAGGTTGGCCATTCCGATGGCTCTTCAATGATTAGGAAAAATGCATTAATGTCCTGAAAGGAAAATGTGCGAGCCTTAGTAAAACAACTGATTATAGTTTTCTTTTGTTCATTCTTTCTTTCTTATTTTGTTTTTTTTTTTGTTTTCTTTATAAAATGTAGAATTTGTCAGCTTTTTTTCATTAGGTCTAATTATTAATTTCAATTATTTGTTAGGACTAGCGATTAATAGTTATTATGGCTAATGCTTTACACATTTCAGATCGTTTAGTTTCGCTCTCCAGCGATGAACTCTTAAATGCTTAGTAATACTAATCAATTTTTACATTTGATCGATATCATTTCCATTACAGTTTTATACAGTGAGTCAAGGAGTTGCCATTCTATATTGTAGAAAAAATTATTATCACCGTTGGTTTTTTCTTTGTCGTCGAAATTGTTTTAAGATATTATTTTCTTTAATCGATTTCTCATTTTGTAGTATGCTTTTTAGGAAAATATGCCTTTCTAACACCCTAAGTAGACTAGGTTCTTGAAATTTATACAATAGATTATTGTTCTTGGTATTGTTATTATTGGTATCAATAAATTGTTTTGCTTAAGGTTTTCCCATTGTAAGGTATTTCATTGGTTTCGAATAAAAAGTGAAAAGATTACAAGTCAAAAGGCAAGAAGGCAGAGCAGGCTTTGTTTATTATAGAATATAGTAGAATCGAGAGAAATAGTAGAGGGATAAGAGTGAAGAGGAATAATGGGGTCGCAAGGGTTTCGTTCACCAATTTCGGTATCTAAAACAGCCATTTTTGTGGAGATTGGAAAAGATAGAAAAGCTTTTGTTTTTATTGCGGCAGTCGTTTGGTTAGTTGAGTTCCCCACATTCACTATCCTCTATGTATGGCAATATATTATATTTTTTGGGGGTTTCTCTGTTACAACTATTATGAGCACAATTAATTACCGACTTCTGTGTCTGTGTCTGCTTCGGCCTGACAAATTCCTGCTTGCTTATTCAATTAATTTCGTTTTTCTAGCGCTCATAAAATATGCTAAGGCCACATTTAATTTATTTATATTTCTATACCTATTTATATTCTTGAGCTCAACGGAATATGAGTGGAAGGGAAGCGTGGAACGTGGAAATTGGTTTAGTACATCTAATCAGGCTTTAGTTAAGGTAAAGTAAGGTATCAAGGATATATAAGACGCTGTAAAAGGGTAATTGAAATGAAATTGCTACAGACAATGTGAATGGAAAAAGTGTGAAAGGCAAAGTAAACAAATTGAAATTGAAATACGAAAGGTAATAAAAGCGGAGGGGAAAAGCTCAACAGGAAAAATTGTCGGCAATTCCTAAATACTTTGACGAATAGTGAGACAAGTCACGAAGAGTATTAGTTAGGTGGAAATATATTAGTAATATATCTATAAAGTAAAAACATAATGCTAAGTAATTGTGTTTCATAAGGTTAATATTTTAATATGGAAAACTAGTAGGATACACGAGGAAAATGTAAAAAGCAAAAAATAGTAACGTGCTTAGTTTTTAATTTCAGCGAGCTCGTTTGGGTCAAATTGAATTAGGACAATTAACCTAGGGCTGTACCAAGTCCGGCATAAGCGCAAACATGAGCTGGCTAAAAGCTAATCATCGTTAAGTTTACATAGATATATATACATAGTATACAGAGCATTTTTTTACATATATATTTCCTCAACTCCTTTTTTTTCTGCGAATTTCTGACCCTCTCCCGGTGGCTTGTATTCAAATGACGGCGGTGTCCAGAATCTTGAATCGTGAGCGGAAAAGTGTCAACACTCATTTTTTTTTGGACGCGGAATGGGCAGGGAGATGGGGTGAGCTTGTTGGATATTCCGAGTGTTCATTATCACGCAACGATGGCGGCCATTGTGGATGTAGTGGACGATGATGGGGATGACGGGTGACGCAAGATGGGGGCAACTTGGAAATGGTGATGATGATGATGATGCTCCTGCTGGTGGGGTGGATGTGGTGGCTGTTGATGTTGCTCCTGAAACGGGATTGGGAATGGGAATGGAAATGGACTGGGTGTGGGTATGGGATTGAGGCTGGGAAATGTGATGGACCGGAAAACTCCACAGAGCAAAAGGCATCTGCTGCTGTACCAACAAAAGCAGTTGGCGTAATTTGTTGGTCGTCGTTGTTGCTGCCTTCGTTGTATCTTTCGCAGCGACCGCTGTTCCTGCTCCAGTTATTGTCGCCATCGCTGTTGCTGCTCTTGTTTCACCTGCAATCCATGCCCATACCCGGGCAGATGGCATCCTCGCTCCCATTCGCCGCCTGGCGGCGCAGCGCATCTGCATCTGCGCCAGCTGCAGCTCTCCGCGTCGTCATTCATCCAGAGGCACTGTTGTTTCTGCCGCACATAATAGGTGAACTGTGTGCACTTGCGGCAGGTCTTGATGCCGCAGCGATAATCGTCTGCTGCTGCTGTTGGGCCCCGGAGGAGTCCGCTCCAGCGCCCCCTTGCCTTTGCAGTACTTGAGCCCGCAGGGATACAACCGATGCAAGTCTCCAGGGTGCAGAGACACGGGGCCACAGGCTGCTCACCTCGTTGCAGCGCGTCGAGAGCGTGTCCGGGAATTTCTCGGTGGGCCTCAAGGCTGGAATCGATGAGCCTGTGGTCGCCGCCAAACAAGATACGGCAAAGAAGGAGAACGTGGAGAAGCGAAACAATAATGTAAACAGAAAAGTTTGAAACGAAAATACCCTCACATAGCTGGACGAATACTATACTATACTATATATATACAGACATACATCAACCCCCAAAAGTTTTGCCTTGTTTTATTATCTTTACCAAGATTACAGGCAAACAGCGAAACTCTAACACAGTTTTAAGGAAAAAGGCTATGAATATAAGAATTTTTCTCTAAAAGCCTATTTGATTTATACTTTTAGGAAACTAATTAAATTGATTGTGTATACAAGAAAAGTCTTTGCAGATCCCCACAGACAACTCTTTACTTTTATATTTTATCAGATTTGTTTGTATTTAATAAGTGTTGCCTTGTTTGTTTAATTATTTTGCAGTTCTCTATATTTCATGTACCTGTAGCATGTTACCCACATTTTTCTCTATTTTTCGTATAACATATACATCGTGTTTGCATACAACTTGACCTAATTTTTGCCATACACGCAAATATAATCTGATAAGTTGGTTTTAAATAGCCATAGAGTTTTGCAAGTACGCTATTAAAACTGAATTACATTCGTATAATGAGTAACGCGATTTCTATGTTTCTTTTCCAAGAATAAGAGTACCATTAGGTCCAGGATTTAGACTGCATTTTAGTTAAAATTCCCATTAAATTCCGCTAAATCAACTATTTATAAATAATAATCCAGCTTAGTTTTTAAACCCTATGGCACGTAAAAACGCGCAACTCACCTGACAGATCTGCCCACGACTTGAGATCCACGTCCCTCACATAGGTGGCATCCATTGCCTCCGAGCACAGGCCCTGCAAGTGACGCGTGATGGGCAGGGATCGGTTCAACTGCACCCAGCTGCTCATCGTGTAGGTCTCGCGGCCCTTGTCCTCCTCGGGAGTGCGAATGGTGTGCGGATTCTTCTGGCGCAGCTTGGCCATCGCCGCCGAGGATATGAAGTCGCCCTTGTTGAACTTGGTGGCGAAGCACATAACCTGGTACTGGCTCTGACCGCGCTCCTCCTCGCCTAGCACCAAGGCCTTGAGGATTTGAACCTCCTGATGGGGGGGGGGGTAATGGGGAAATATTCACGTTTTTATTTTAAATTCCTCTCCTGCGGATTCAGTTTCTGCTACTCACATTGCGAAAGTCAATGACCTGGGTGATGAGCGTGCCGTCAGTCTTCTGGAATTCCAGCGTTATCAGGTC